TGGTTGAATAAAAGTCTATATCTTCTACTAGTAGTTATAAAGCGTGCTCTTAGTCCTTCCTCCTTAGTGGAGACAAGAATGTCTGAGGGCTTTACTCGGTTGAACGCTTTCTCAAGATCGAGTGCTAAGACGACTCTCCTGTCTCTCAAGACTTCGTGCAGAACCTCCTGTTTTGGCATCATACTACGTTCTGTGTGGGCATAGGCGAACGGAGGCTGATTTGGTTGAATGGTAGTTTTTGTCCCTCCTCGAAGAATTCGGTGACTCGTTTAAATATGACATGCTCAGCCACTTTACCCACAAAGAACATTGTGAAACGGGGCGAAGTGAGCTTACGGCTAGGCGTTTTCCCGGCTTGGGGATTAGTATGACGGACGTGTCCCGCCACTCAGGGGACACGTGGCCTGTTTCTCAGATTTTGTAATATGTTCCGTGAAGTGTTCGATGTCCGCTTCTTCAAAATTATTAAGAAGTTTTTTCTGTATGCCATCGGGGCCCGGATCAAACGGCAATTGAGGTCAGTTAGGACTGCCCTTATCTCGGCGCTCGAGAAGGGGCCTCCGAGAGGATCCTCCTCCATCGCGTCCAGGGTGGGCTAATAGTTGGCAGGCGAGCTAGGGTCGATGCGCAAGCAACGTGCTGCTAGTTCATCAACGATCTGAGGCTCTGTCCTACCCAAGGATTTGAGTTTGTGTATCACTCTGTCTATAGGGAGCTGTTGAGACGCTTAGGATTGCTTGTCACCTAGTAGTTGTTTTAACAGCTCTCATTTGGCCCTGTTTCTCGATTGGCCGTCTACGAAGTTGCACGCATCGTCACACTGCTGACACTCAAAGGTGCGGCATTGGTCCTCGATTTGCTGGTTGAGATCAGCTAACTTTTTGCGAAGATTACGGTAAAGGTTTTTTGTGTGCCATCTCGCGTGAAGTGCATTTTTAGCCTCGAGGAGGTGAGCGAGCCGGCTGTTTATACGCTCAACCACTCGATCTGTTGCAACGTCTGTAGTCGACTTAGCAACGTCCTGTTTAAGTCGAGTAAAGACTTCTGCTAGTGTGTCACAATGGTTACCATCTTTTTTTCTCGGTTCTCGAAGGTGGTTTCAGTCCGTAATGAGGTAGTTCCTGATTGTGTTCATAAACGCGTTAATTACTGTTTCAATAACGTAATGATCACTGCCGATGTTCTCATGCAGGTTCGTCCACGTAGGTTGACCTTCATTGCGAACCATCCTAAATCAGGTGCGGTGTCAGCGGTAATCGAGTTGGCCATTCGGGTGGGAAAGTTAGGATCCGTTAAGAGTGTGAGTCTGCTTGTTATCATTTGCGAAACCAACGCAGTACCTTTACGAGAGGAGCATCTGTACCCGAAGTCTTGATGCTGAGCGTCAAAGTTCACTGCAATGATGAGCATTCAATCCCTTGCCATTTCGCTCACTCTTTGAAAAAGAAATGAAAAAGTATTCAAATTATTCTTGGGTGTGCTGTACAAGACGTTAAGGATAAAGATCGACTGCCTAAGTTCAGAGTTAGGGATCAGTTCAATCAAAATGTATTCGTCTTTGAGGTCTGGGCGGACCTCGTGGCGAACGTTTGTGTATTTGTTCAAGATGAGTGTGTCTATGTCTCGAGTGCCCACGCGATGGTCCGCTTCGGTGCGGTAGGCACGCAGAGTGGGTTCGGCGGTAAGCGTCTCTTGGAGTAAATTTACGGCAGGCTGGTCGGCACCTGATATTATAGGAGTGAGAGAGAGGAGGAAGCACCTGATATATTAAATTGGCACCTGATATTTTCGCGTCGCTATTTGTGCGAATATAGCGACGCGAAATCGCTCAAGTATTTTGGTCAGATTCGCTTTAGTTAGCTGTTCACCCTCCAAGTTTTCAGCTGCCCTGCGTTTCGTGGCGCGACTCATGACTGCTGCATTAGAAGGAGCTGAAGCTGCAGCGGACGCGGCGGGTTCGTCGGGTGCCGGTCCACCGACTATGCGCTTGTTTTGCTGTTGCATGATCCGTGCGTCGGGTGCTGGTTCGGTGACTGCGCGTTCACTCTGCTCCTGCATGTATCGTAAAAGCGTCTTACCCCCGCAATCACAAACACTACTCGACTCGAATTTCATCCTTCACTTGACTTGGCTGCGCACTGCGCCGTTGTTCAGGCAAAAATGACGCTGCGTTGCTCAAGAATAGCAGCAAATTATACTGTTATACAGTGATTTTTTCTGTCTACAGATGGCGCTTTTATTGGCTTTCTCAAGTGAAAATGAAGCGTTGAGTGAAGGGGCGTTCTAGAATAAGGGCCTGAATCTCTGCGAGGGTTTTTGCGTAGGAACGCGTTCTCGCGTTCGAGTGTGTATTTTTTCAGTTACATGCTGTGGCAGTTGTCTCACCTGCTCATGGCTGCGGGTCTCACCTTTAGTGGCGACTCGGTCGGCTTAGGTGGTTTGCATCGTGCTTTTCAAAGTGGATGGTTGGGTCTGCACCGGCTTCTTGGGCATCGGCGTCGTGTGCTGCTGTTTTGTGGCCACTGGGTGGCCTTAGGTGGGTTCACTGGTGTTGTGTCTGCGGAGTCGGCGACGGTGGCGTCGGACGACACAGGGCACCTGATAGTGGTTTGGGCATGTGCGAGCCCCCTTAACGTGGGCTTGTCCGCACAGTGCATATTTTGGTTGAACACACTCATGTTCACTACCAGTGAGTTGAACACCACGATGCTCACAAAATTTCGTTGTTGGAGTCGGGTACAGGTCCTGGCGGTGTTCATTTGTCTCTTGTATAGCGTGTAACGCAGCAGTAACCTGCCACAGTGCACGTAGTTTGATACTTTTAGTCTGTTGAATAGGCGAATCACAGTAGTATTTTTAATGCGGCGCACGCCGAGAAGCGTCAGGTTGTGCGTCGTCGAAAAGAGGCGTTCTAGTTCCGAGTCTAGTAGGTCGGCCTTAACCCCTCGCACAACAACTCGGCTGGTGTAGCTGGGCGTGGCGACTAGGCAGAAACGGGGTAGCGTGGCTCCGCCAGGGCTATCTCACGCACGTTAACGTAGGCTTCAGCGTGGACTGTGCTCCATGTACGTATAACGAATATACTTCCTGGTCTTACGAAAAATCTTCCTGGTCTTACGGACGTCGAGTCCTCCACCCGGGTGAACGATGACCCGGCATTGATCAGCGGGTAGAGGCGGGAGCCGGCTGGCGGCTGAAACCTTCTTCAATGCTCCGGCATACAGGGTGCCGGTAGGGACGCGATGTTGTTTGCCGGTAGCTTGCAGCAGGTTTGCGGGGCGTTTCTCGGGAGCAGCGATGCAGTGAAGAAGAAAACATCGAGTCAGCCTGGCCGTTGAACTTGGAAAATCAAACCGCACAGACCACAAACAGCTGCCGAAATAGCACTCAAAACCACAAACAAGCAAACGTTAAACTCAAGTGCGACCCAGCCGCCCGTCGTTCACTCGAATGAGTGCCTGTCAACGGTCTTTAAAGAAGCGTCTTCTGAGGCCGGGCACGTAGCACGTAGACAGGGTAATTACTGGTTATATGATAAGTGGGGCAATGGGATTGTGCATACACGGGATATACCGAATGGTGGATAAGCCACCGCATCTACATGAAAGGAGAAGGGGGCGGTAATCCCGTATTCTTACACCGTTCTTACGCAAGTTCTTACACCGGCTGAAGAAAGTAGCAGGACATGTGGTCGTAGAGGTGGATTTTTCAGCACTAGTTGAGCTAAGCTACCTGTGTAAGCTTACTGCCCAGCCTCTAAAAGTCCGGCAAATGCCAGAAAAAACACCGCCATCCTTTCGTGGCATGCTTTGTTGGTGTCGTGTAAATATTGACACTGACATGTGGCAAGAAATACATTAGCCAAACAGGACGATGTATAAATTATCATTTAGGGGAACACAAACAAAACGTACCTTGGTACAGAGGTGGGCACCTGTCCACACAATTCAACGACTGTGGTTGTTCCCGTATGCATTCAAGACGTATCAAAACCAGCTGGCATAAAAATAAGTGTACTCACGAAATAATCGAAGCAAGGATCATATTCATCGAATGAGAGAATTGTGTCAGCTCACCGTCGTTAATGTTATTGGAGAAAGAAATGCTGTTCTTGAGTTCGTCAATGCAATGAAAAGCTCAGGTGGCCATGGATGTATATATGAAGGGCGAGTTTTCAATAAAAAACTCTTTTCTAGCCTGGCACCCTATTCTCTCGCCTTTTCTTTTGTTGTTTGAGTTGCGCCTAAAATATTTTATGAGATCTAGAAATATATTTTACACCTTAGGCCCACTCAGACTCAGACTCGCCAAATTTTCCAGAGCCAAACTCAATCGGACTCACAATCACGTGAATTTTCTTCAGGCGGAATAACTCAGGCTCCGACTCACCAAATATTACTCCCCCGAACTGACTAAGACTCAGACTCACTGCTCGAAGTAAGTGTCAGTCAGTCCGAGTAAGTCGACTCATGAGTGAGTTTGCACGGTTGGCCGTCTTAGCTCAAGTTCTTCTTCCAATCAGGGACGCTCTTCAGGCTTTTACACAGCTTCCTCTAATCATGTTCTAACTGTTCAACCACGTACATTGTTTGTCAGAACGGAGATCACCAAGAGGCAATGTGAGTTTATCCACGTTGATCAATGTACACTTAACCGTCGTAGTATATACTACAGCATAACGGTTAAGATACGGGCAGAGAAGAGAATCAGCCCTGTGTCCCTTTTCTCTCGGTGTCCAATCCGTTGCGCTGTAAAATATTATATGTCGAACTTCTACCGACTTGACCAACTCAAGATTCTGGTACAGTTAACATTCGAATTCATATGTAAGAACTAGTTTTACTTTCTTGTAACTCCTATCACGAGGAGGTAAAGCACGTTTTTGATGAAGTGCACGTTAATAGTTCATTGTGTTTTTTTCTGCAAATGTTGAATTTTATATTAAAATAGTTGTTTTTAGTTGCATTGTACAAAACGAGTACCCATCTCGTACTACGCAGGTGATTTTCAACAGAAAGCTCTAGTGATTGGCGGCGAAGTTTGCCTGTGGGCAGAATATATTGACGCCACTAATATCATTAGTAGGACTTGGTGAGTATTTACCTCATCTGCATATTCTAGCATACTTGTAACTATAGGGCGAACATACTTAACGTGTACTAAACTTGTATATTTAAACTCACACATTAGCCATGAAAACAGGAAAACTCAATAACTGCTGGCATAAAAAAGGTATAGCAGCATTTGTACACGTTTCGGCTTCCTTACGATGGTCCATGGGCTATGGGTTGCTTGTTTTTTTACCGTACAAACTTCATACCGTGTTTGATACCCGGAAAATCTCTATACTACCTCACTCTTTTCTAAAGTTTTGTTATCGCCCTGTTACACAGTAATTGCTGCCTTGTGCACCAACCACACGAAATGACCAAGAACCGTCGAGAATCTTAGAACCTTCCGATGCAAATATGCTCACAAGGCTAAGTTTCTTCTACACCCTGCGTGGCCCCTGGCGAAAACAAAGGAATAATCTAGGGCAGATATACAGGCTTTTTAAAGCAATACATATTTTTTTCCAAAAGCTATAATTGGTAGACACTTGCCATCTTCGCAGCCCATTTTCAATCAGAGGAGAAAAGATATGGTCACTCATTAGATCAACTAGGAATGAATAATTGATAAAAATATTTGAATTACCTATAATATAAATGCTAGGTCGAAAGCGGTATCAGCGTCGTTAGAAAAGCAGCAAGAGCTGGCCGGGTATGCGGGCAGCGCCACAGCAGCAACTGGCAGTCTTAGCTAGTGCCTCGCGCCAACGTGTTGATGTCGCTGCAGTAGTGGGCATTCCTCTTCATTAGACTTCGTCCCCCGTCCGAAAAGAAGCCATCCTGGCGACTCACGGTGAACAGTGTACGAGCAGATCATAATAAGGTTTCAACCACTGTACGTGAACGGTTTTACGACACCGAAAGCGCTGGTCTGTGAAAGGGGTAACGGGTCACACGATGTAGTTAGGAGGTGAAGTCTCCAAAACAACGCGGTAGGGTCCCTGGTATTTTGAAACAAGCTTCGAGGAAAGGTCTGTAGGCAAAGCGGAAACCCAAAGCCACACAAGAGTTTATGAAACAAAGTTAGGGTACGGCTGGTTATCGTCACGTCAAAATTTTTGTCTCCATTGGTCGATGGTTGTAAACGACTGGGCGAGCTTGCGGCATTCCTCGGCGCGGCGGGCAGCTTCAGAGATAGGCGTAGACTTGGAAGAATCGGGGTGGTAAGGTAGAAGGGTATCAAGTGTGGTGGAAGGGTCTCGGCCAAATAACAGAAAAAAATGGTGAAAAGCCCGTAGTTGCCTGTGGAGCAGTGTTATATGCTAAAGTTACAAAAGGCAGAATTAGGTCCCAATTGGAGTGGTCTGAGGCAACATACTTTGATATCATGTCCCCTAAGGTACATGATATTGCCACCATTGATGAACGAGCCGCTGTGGCTCATACCCGTTTTAGGCGACGAAGAGGAAGAGAACATTTTCGTTGCTCGGCTTCAGGTGAACTCCTGGCTGCAGGTCTTGTTTTTGCTCGCGACATTACTGGTAGAGGTGCTGGGTACGTGTACTTCGGCTGTGTCGGCCATCGTGGAGACAGTTACATCTCCCAGAGCAAGAAGCAGCCGCCACCTGCGTGGGTTAACCCCCTGAACCTGGTCCCTTGACATCGATACCCAGAAAGATGGCAACTCCGATGGCAAGCCAGGTGGTCCAATCCAGCGATGCCCATGGTTCTCTTCTCGCCCATGTTTTTCATGCGCCACAGACACCAAAGCTGTTCCATGGAGACATCTTCAAGGATGTCGATGACTGGCTCGACCACTTTGATCGGTTGGCCAGTATCAACGAATGGGACGATATTCGCAAGCTGCGCCGAGTTTACTTCTACTTAGAGGATTCTGTGAAGACGTGGTACGAGAACCACGAGTGCTCCTTTGCAACCTGGCAAGAGTTTAGCCGTCAGTTCTGTCACGCCTATCGGAACACCGAGAGGAACGAGAGGACTGAACAAGCCATACCCTGCAGAAACCAGCGGCCGAACGAACGAGTATCCATGTTTGTCGATGACATGCTTCGGCTCTTCAAGCGCGTGGACCCTGCCATGCCCGAGGAGAAGAAGGTGCGGCATTTGATGCGCGGAGTAAAAGAACAGCTTTTCGCTGGGCTCGTGCGCAATCCACCGACGACAGTCACCCAGTTCATCAGTGAGGCGACCACTATGACACGTATGCTGCAGCAGCGGTCGTCACAATACGAACGCCAGATCCCGGCCACCGCATGCTCTATCGGCTCTGACAGCGAGAGACAGGCCCTTGTCGACTTCATTCAAAGTATAGTTCGGGACAAACTGCGACAGCTTCAGGCAGTGGGATCCCGTCAACCTGTGTCAGCCCTCGCGGATGTAATCCAACAAGAAGTCTGGCAGCACGTCACACCCCTGACCCCACTCACACCACCGATTCCCGAAGCCATAGTCCTGACATACGCAGTGGCATTGCGATCCCCTACGCCATCGGCTACAGATCCTGCTATGCGGCCCAGGTACCAGGCTGGCAGTCATTCCACGCCACTGCTTCGAGCCTGCCTCTCGGCTTAAGGTTCCCGAGCACACCCACCTATCTGCGTCTACCTCAAGACAAAGTGGTAGCAAGGCAAGCACGTGGCGCTGTTCGGATAACCGTCCGCTCTGCTATCACTGCGGCGAAGAGGGTCACGTATACAGGAACTGTCAAAACCGGCCACTAGGTCTCCGCGGCTTCCATCCTGATGCTCGATGCCCGCGCTACGGTGAGCGCCCCCGCGAAATCGAAGCCTATCTCATGGGCCAGCGAACACCTCCGACTGTCCAGCACCACCAGTTGAGGTCGCCAACGCCTCGCCGGTCTACGTCACCCAGTTTGCCCTCATCGTCTTCCGCTCCTTTCAGGAGCCGGTCACCAAGTCCCCGCAGGTGAAACTAGGAACGGTGACTTCTGGGGGTGAAGTCGTGGCCCGGCGAACTGTAAAAGACCCTCATTCGACGCAACGACTGGACGAGGACCATTCCGGTTTTGCAGTGTTCTCTGACAGCAGAAAGATCACTTCTGCCGAAATCGCCGTCTTCGTCGACAATCATGCTGTCAACGCCCTCGTCGACACCGGTGACGACTATTTCGTAATGAGCGCCACACTGGCATCTGAACTGAGGAAGGTTACCACACCATGGCAAGGACCCCAGTTGCACATGGCAGGGGGCCATCTGGTGATGCCTACCGGTATATGCACGGCACGCATTCGTGTACGTACGTCGACATTTGCGGGCTCTTTCCTCGTATTGCGCGTTTCCTCTCGGCCATTCTAGGAATGGACTTCCTTCGTGATTACGGTGCCGTCATTGACCTGCGTGAGTTACTTGTGTCGTTCGAGGATCCTTTTTGCGCTGCAACTGACAGTACACAATTCCGGAAAAGAGCGCTCCGTGTTACCAACGATTCTCTGACTCTCCCACCTCGAAGCAGCATCTTTGTCGAAGTAGAATTAGGACAGGACGTGTCTGACGCGGTAATTGCAGAGGCCAATTTGTCTCTCCTTATTTCACGACAAATCTGTGTTGCCCGATTTATCATTCAGCCTAGCACTAGGCATGTTCACCTGTTGGTCACGAACTTCAGCGACGAATATCGCCACCTAACGAGACACACTGCCATTGCATATTGTGTAGAACTTGCCGATGCCGATGGTTCGCCCACGTTAGCTTTATTTTCATCGAATGGCCACCCTGACGAGGCCTTCGGGAGCACTCTCGACGTAAACGAGAGACTACCTTCGGCTCAACGAAAAAGCCTTTTGCATTTACTCGGCTCATTTCAAGACTGCTTTGCCACTACGTCAAAGGTTAAACAGGCACCACTTGCTCAGCACCGTATCATCACGGAACCCACCGAGAGACCCATCCGACAAAACGCCTATAGGATGTCGCAAAAAGAGCAAGACGCTATACGTAACCAAATCCAGCAGATGGTTCAGGACGACGTCATCCAGCCATGAACCAGTCCCTGGGCTTCGCCAGTTGTGCTAATAAAGAATAAGGACGGTACGTTGTGTTTTTGCGTTGATTACCATAAACTGAACAAGGTCACCAAAAAGGAAGTTCAACCTCTACCCCGGATAGATGACTCGTTGGACCGTATACGCAACGCTGAATATTTTTTGTCCATGAATTTACGTAGCGGCTACTGGCAAATCACACTGGATGAGCGCGACCGCGAAAAGACGGCCTTTATTACTCGCGACGGCCTATACGAGTTTAGAGTGTTGCCTTTCGGTCTATGCTCAGCGCCAGCTACACTTTCCAAATAATGATGGATGCGGTTGTCAGAGGGCTCAAATGGCAATCATATCTTGTTTACCTTGATGACGTCGTGGTCTTTGCAGACACGTTTGAACAACAAGTCCAATGCCTTCATGCAGTACTTCAGGCAATCAGAACAGCGGGGCTTTCTCTCCAACCCGAGAAATGCCATTTTGGATATGAAGAACTGAAGTTCCTTGGTCACGTTGTGAGCCATGCCGGCATCCGCCCAGATCCGGAGAAAACCCGTGCTTTTGCCGCCTTTCCCATGCCCACAAATAAGCGCGACCTACGCCAATTTCTGGGGTTCTGTGCGTATTACAGGCGTTTTGTCAAAAACTTTTTGAAGATCGCAGAACCCCTCAACAAGCTTACAAAAGACGGTGTCTCGTTTGTTTGGGGTCCCGATCAGTGTCATGCGTTCGACACCCTCCGAAACCTCCTCCAGGCTTCGCCTCTACTGGGTCATTTTGACAATAGCGCTGACACGGAATCACACACTGACGCCAGCAACGTTAGACTAGGAGTCGTATTAATTCAGCAGCACAATGGCGTAGAACACGTGATTGCTTATGCGAGCAGAACCTTATTCCCAGCGCAGAGAAACTATTCTGCAACCGAGAAGGAATGCCTCGTTGTTGTTTGGACCATAACAAAGTTCCGCCCATACTTGTATGGCCGCCCATTCAGGGTAGTTAGCGACCACCACTCCCT